TCCTAATGCAGATATTTTAGTAATAAATCGTCATATCACATAATCTGCCTGTTTATTTTTTAGCCACTGTCAGAATTGTGTTTGTCATCAGCCCCTGATAACTGTGAGCCTGGGTTCACACATATGCAGTGTGGTATATCGCATGTAATTCTCACAGGAACCGCACTGCATTCCTGTGCAAACCACATGCGAATTGTGTGCGGTGCGATTGGAGCCATGGCTCTATTCGCACTGCACCCGCACCCGCACCAAAATCGTCCAGGACCCTTTTTTGGGTCCGCACTAGAATCGGATCGCATGGGTATTCTCACCTGTACGATCTGATTCTGCACATCGCACCGCGTTTTACAGACCACTTTCAGGGTGTTGTTAGCTTAACATCACACCTGCTGCGGTTTGCATGTACGGGGTGCGATTCTGATGTGGCGTGGAATTCGCACTGAAATGCACCGCATCAGAGTGAACCAGGGCTGAAAGGTAAGTTCCTTGCAAGTCAAGAAAACCCTTTGTGAGCAATATCACCGTTTTGATCCATTAGTATGTGTACACCACAAGCATATTTGTAAACCTTCTAGGCAAAGCCAGGATCATGGAAACAAAGGTTTTTATAGCTAATGTCAGGAGCAGCAAAATGTGTGAACTTTTATTGTGTCTGGATGAAAATCATCTTTTTTTTTTTGTTTTGGCTTTGGTGTTAGGAGCCTTGTATAACCTCATCTTCAGACAGTGGAAAAAAAATTTAAATTCATGAGCAGTCTGGAATAGGAACTCCCCCCCCCCTCCTCCCTTTGAATTGCTAGTGGATGACAAATAGCTACTACTTTCCACTCCATTTCACCAGGCACAGCTACCTTTCTATCCTCGTGAGGTTTGTGACCTTTCCATCGATGTCATTTGCAGTTCCCCTCAGTCCCCTCCTGGTGCCCCAAGGGAGCTGTAATGGACTCACTTTAATTGCCTGTTGAAGGACAGAAGCAGTTCCTTGTAGGCTGATTGGTGATCCCCCTGTGAGTACAGCTGTCCTGGTCAGTGAAAAGATTGCTCTGACACACACAAACATTTTGGCTCAGTGCTCAATACATTTCGCACAGCATGTACATAATCACTGCTCTGGCTTTAGTGGTTTCCTGTCTGCCCACTCTGCACTGTGGCTTTATTTGTTAGCCGTGTGACTCACGGGAGAGAGACTATCGATGCTAATCCCCTAGTGGGTTGCTGTAGTTGAGATAGAAGATACCCCACAGAGTGCTGTATAATTCTGAGATTTAGAAAGTCAATCTTCTGTGGGTTTTGCTATTGCACCTGAGACTACAGTACGGTTCTACCTTCTGCATGCCAAACTGTCCTCACGCTTTATTTACATTTTTTATTATGTCTTTTTCAAACGCTAAAAGGTGCTCCTGGGATCCTGTACATAAATATATCAAATAAAGCAGTAAAACTAATGATTTGCAGTTTAAAAATGAGAACACGTTTTAGATTAAATACATTTTAAATGTCAACATGTGAGCAATAAAGTGTCTCAATTAGGGAAGCCTTATATGCGATAAAACACGTAAATGATATGAAACACATAGGATGAGATGTGTTAAATAAATGGGGACATTTACAAAAACCGGTGCAGAAGACAGCAGTGACAAATGCTTGCTTTCATTTTCTAAACTGCCCTAGAAAAATGACATAATTTATTGGAACTGGGAACACGATAGTTTTGGTCTCTCAGCCTTTTTCCATATAGTCTTTTCCATTTTATATTTGGATTAGCAGTCCTCATTCAATATACTGTATCTGGAAATGCTTTGATCCTCTACCTCTACAGGAGCATGAACCCTTCTTTAACAAACCATTTTTGGGTACTGCATCAATCAATCAGATTAAGACTTTTCATTCCAGATTTTCCAGTATCAGTGTGACTTTGATTAACCCCTTGGCGTCGGCGCCTCCCAGCCCTTTAAGGGTTTCAGAAGCCGGAAGGTGGGGCGGGGTTTAGGGTTATGAGACCGCCGTGACAGCATGTCACATGATCGGGAAAGATCCCTATCGAAAGAGGAGATCGGGACCTTTCCGTGAGTACTGGACATGTGTGCTGGGAGCGCACTCTCAGCACATATGTTTTTTTTAATAGAACGCAAATGTGCGGGACTCCCGCTCGGCAATCTAGGCCCAGACGCCGGGAGCCGCACATTTGTGTTCGGCCAGCGTGAAGAGGTTAATGTACACTAGTAAGACTCATGGACAAACACAAACACTGTTTTCTCAATTTACTGACACTGTGATAACTGAATCCTTTATTAGAGTGAGGCTTTGTCCTTGTGAGCAGCACATTATTATTATTATTATACACAGGATTTATATAGCGCCGGCAGTTTGTGCAGCGGTGTACAATATAAGGGAGGCAGTACACTTACAATACATTTCAATACAGAAGGAATATGAGGGCCCTGCTCGTGGAGCTTACAATCTAAAGGAAGGGGGAGGTGATACAAAAGGTGATAGCTGCGGGGGATGATCTGGTGGAGGTGATCCAAGTTCTTACGTAGAGGTGGGGTAGGAATCCCTGAATAAGTGAGTTTTCAAAGATCGCCTAAAGGCAGACAGGGTGGGGGCTTACCGGACATACTGTGGTAGGGAGTTCCAGAGGATGGGAGAGGCTCTGGAGAAGTACTGGAGGCGAGCATGGGAGGTGATGAGGGAGCTAGAGAAGAAGATATCTTGGGAGGAGCGGAGTGGGCGATTTGGGCGATATCTGCGGATGAGGTGTATGAGTCTAGCAGCAGCATTCATAATAGACTGAAGGGTGGATAATCTGTGTAACGGTAGACCAGTGAGGAGGGAGTTGCAGTAATCGAGGCGGGATATAACCAAGGTTTGGATAAGTTGTTTTGTGGTGTTCATTGGTCAGAAAGGGGTGGATTTTCAAAATGTTTCGGGGGTTGAGGCAGCAGAATTTGACCAGTGATTGGATGTGGGGCCCAAAGGAGAGGTCAGAGTTTAGGATTACGCCTAGCACAATGGCATGAGGGGAAGGACCAATGGTTGTGCTGTTAATCTTAATGGTAAAGTCATGAGTGGGGGATCAGGGAGGAGAAAATATTACAAGCTCGGTTTTGGAAAGATTGAGTTTAAGGTAGTGGTGTGACATCCATGCTGTTATGTCGCTCAGTAGATTTGTGATACGTGTTATATACATGTATTACATATATGTGTCAATAAGAAACTGACCAAAATAAGTGTAATGGTAAAAATATTTTTTTTTTACCATGGTTAACTATGTCATTTTCCTACATGCTGCACATTTACCTGCACTACACAAGCAAGTACATGCAGTTTATTTTTGTAGGAAATGTGTGTTATGGGCTCATTTAGACTTGTAGCTGGAGGGCCTTAAAACGTAAAGTTGAGCCGCATTTTAAGCACCCTCCAACTATCCCCCATTAAGCTGCAAAGGCTGCGGATAGTGATGTTCACATGCCACGGTTTCAATGCTTCATTACTACTCCTTTTGCATTTTTCAGGTAGTACTGCTGCCAAATGCAACCCATTCAAGTGAATGTGGATGCACTGCATACTCCCTGCAAGCATGTGTGATGCATGTGGTATAGACCTGTTAGTGCAGAATTTACAGGGTTATCAAGCATGTATGTATGTATTGTATATATACACTATATTGCTGAAAGTATTGGGGCACCTGCCTTTGCACGCACATGAACTTAACCGCTTTCCAGCTGCCCTATAGCAGGAATACTACTACAGGGCTGCAGGGCTATGCAAAATAATGTATACTTAATTTTGCATTTACGGGTAGGGGGCGCCCTACTTGTGCCGCCATTGGCGACCTCAGCTGTCGATCACCGGGCCCGAGCAGGTGATTCCCTGCCAGCACCCGGCGATTGCTGAGTATCACTGATGGGGGAGAGACCTGTATGTAAACAAAACAGATCTCTCCTCTCTCAGCTCCTGCACACTGCTTTGTATTGTGCTGCATAGCAGAGTAATACATAGCAATGTGCTGACACAGTAAAACACACACACAGCACACAGTAAAACAGCACACAGCACACAGTTAACCCTTTGATAGCCCCCCATGTTAACCCCTTCCTGCCCAGTACAGTATCAGTGCTTTTTATTAGCACTGATCACTGTATTGGTGTCACTGGGAATGTCAGTGACAGTCAGTCCCCCCCCCCCCCATTGTCAGAATACCTGCCACAGTCCCGCAGTCCCGCAATAAGTCTCTGATCGCCACCATTACTAGTATATTAAAAAATAATCCAGTATCGATATCGCCATTTGTAGACTCTATAACTTTCACATAAACCAATTAATTTACACGTATTGGGAATTATTTTAGCAAAAACATGTAGCAGAATACATTTTGGCCTAAATTTGTGACGAAATTTGCTTGATTTGTTTGTTTTTGTTTTTTTGTGTTTTTGTGTGGGGGGGGGGGGGGGGGGGGGGGGGGGTGTGGGGGTGGGGGGGGGGGGGGGGGGGGGGGTTGTGTGGTTTTTTTTTTTTGTGGTGGGGTGGTTGTGTTGTTGTTTTTTTTTTTTTTTTTTTAAATTTTTTTGCTTACATGTTTAATAGCGAAAAGTCAAAAATATAGTTTTTTTTTCTCAAAATTGTTGGTCTTTTTTTGTTTACAGCATTGCATAAGCGCGCAATTGTCAGTTAAAGTAACATAGTGTTGTATCACACAAAAAGCCCTGGTCAGGAAGGAGGGTCAATCCTCTGGAGGTCAGGACTCTGTGCAGGCCAGTCAAGTTCCTCCATCATAAACTCGCTCATCTGTCTTTATGGACCTTGCTTTATGCACTGGTGCACAGTCATGTTGGAACAGGAAGGGGCCATCCTTAAACTGTTCCCACAAAGTTGGGAGCATGGAATTGTCCAAAATGTCTTAGTATTCTGATTCCTTAAGAGCTCCCTTCACTGGAACTAAGGGCCAAGCCCAACCCCTGAAAAGTAACCCCACACCATAACCCCCCCTCCACCAAACTTTACACTTGGCACAAAGCGGTCAGGCAAGTACCATTCTTCTGGCAACCGCCAAACCCAGACACATCCATCGGATTGCCAGACAGAGAAGTGTGATTCATCACTCCAGAGAACAAATCTCCACTGCTTCAGAGTCCAGTAGTGGCATGCTTTACACCACTGCATTTGAAGCTTTACATTGCATTTGGTAATGTAAGGCTTGGATGCAGCTGCTCAGCCATGGAAACCCATTCCACGAAGCTCTCTACACACTGTTGTTGTGCTAATCTGAAGGCCACATGAGGTTTGGAGGTCTGTAGTTATTGACTCTGCAGACAGTTGGGGACTTCTGCACACTGTACGCTTCAGCATACCACTAACAGTTGAGCGTGGAATATTTAGTAGTAAGGACATTTCATGAATGGACTTATGGCACACGTGGCAACCTATCACGGTACCACGCTTGAATTCACTGAACTCCTGAGAGCGACCCATTCTTTCACAAATGTTTGTAGAAGCAGTCTGCATGCCTAGGTGCTTGATTTTACCCACCTGTGGCCATGGAGGTGATTGGAACACCTGAATCCAAGGATTTGGAGTGGTCTCCCAATACTTTTGGCAATATAGTGTGTATATATATATATACAGTGGGGATCGAAAGTTTGGGCACCCCAGCTAAAAATTTGTATTAATGTGCATAAAGAAGCCAAGGAAAGATGGAAAAATCTCCAAAAGGCATCAAATTACAGATTAGACATTCTTATAATATGTCAACAAAAGTTAGATTTTATTTCCATCATTTACACTTTCAAAATAACAGAAAACAAAAAAAAAATGGCGTCAGCAAAAGTTTGGGCACCCTGCAGAATTTATAGCATGCACTGCCCCCTTTGCCAAGCTGAGACCTGCCAGTGTCATGGTTTGTTCTCAATCATCGTCTGGGAAGATCAGGTGATGTCAATCTCAAAGGTTTTAAATGCCCAGACTCATCTGACCTTGCCCCAACAATCAGCACCATGGGTTCTTCTAAGCAGTTGTCTAGAAAACTGAAACTGAAAATAGTTGACGCTCACAAAGCTGGAGAAGGCTATAAGAAGATAGCAAAGCATTTTCAGATGTCAATATCCTCTGTTCGGAATGTAATTAAGAAATGGCAGTCATCAGGAACAGTGGAAGTTAAAGCAAGATCTGGAAGACCAAGAAAAATATCAGACAAAACAGCTCGCAGGATTGTGAGAAAAACAATTCAAAACCCACGTTTGACTGCACGATCCCTCCAGAAAGATCTGGCAGACACTGGAGTTGTGGTACACTATTCCACTATAAAGAGATACTTGTACAAATATGGTCTTCATGGAAGAGTCATCAGAAAGAAAACCTCTTCTACGTCCTCACCACAAAAATCATCGTTTGAACTTTGCAAATGAACATATAGACAAGCCTGATGCATTTTGGAAACAAGTTCTGTGGACCGATGAGGGTAAAATTGAACTTTTTGAATGAGCAAAGGTACGTTTGGAGAAGAAGGGGCACAGAATTTAATGAAAAGAACCTCTGTCCAACTGTTAATCATGGGGTTGGATCAATCATGCTTTGGGGTTGTGTTGCAGCCAGTGGCACAGGGAACATCTCACGAGTAGAAGGAAAAATGGATTCAATAAAATTTCAGCAAATTTTGGATGGTAACTTGATGCCATCTGTGAAAAAGCTGAAGTTAAAGAGAGGATGGCTTCTACAAATGGATAATGATCCTAAACACACCTCGAAATCCACGGGGGATTACATCAAGAGGCATAAACTGAAGTTTTGCCATGGCCTTTACAATCTCCTGACCTCATCATAATTGAAAATCTATGGATAGACCTTAAAAGAGCAGTGCGTGACAGACAGCCCAGAAATCTCAAAGAACTGGAAGACTTTTGTAAGGAAGAATGGCCAAAGATACCTCAAACAAGAATTGAAAGACTCTTGGCTGGTTACAAAAAGCGTTTACAAGCTGTGATACTTGCCAAAGGGGGCAGTACAAGATATTAACTCTGCAGGGTGCCCAAACTTTTGCAGACGCCATTTTTTTGTTTTCTGTTATTTTGAAAGTGTAAATGATGGAAATAAAATCTAACTTTTGTTGACATATTATAAGAATGTCTAATCTGTAATTTGATGCCTTTTGGAGATTTTTCCATCTTTTCTTGGCTTCTTTATGCACATTAATACAAATTTTTAGCTGGGGTGCCCAAACTTTCGATCCCCACTGTATATATATATATATTTATATATACATTATGTAATGTATGGTAGTATATGCACAGGTTTATACTTTTCCTAAACCTTTTGTGCCCAGGGGTCATTGAAGCCTTCCATGTATAAACACTGCACTGCCCCCAAGAAATTCTACAAACAGTATATACTGTAGAAGATCAGTTAGAAAATACATATACTTATCGTATCTTACATGGATTCCTTCTGTGGCACCTAAGGATGACTTCAGAGAACTTTTTATTGTGATTGTGGGAAAACTGAGTATTTCAGATCTCCCAAGAAAACACTACTACACTGCACGATGCTTAAGTGTACTCTCACAAGATTTTGGATCCTCTGTTTTCCCAGGATCTTGCCTGAAGGGAGAGAAGAGTAACTGGCAAATAGATGCAGTCTATTAAAATGTATGCCAAGCCAAAAATGTTTTTTTTTTTAGTGTTGAACAGAGTAGAGAAGGGTTACAACCTTGTCAGACTTTTTACTTTAGAGATTTTCTTTGTAGACATTTTTTCCTGTTTTATTAATAGTGTTTAACTAGGCAGAGAACTGGTGGTAACACAAAAAGAAATAAAATGCTTTTCTCTAGTAAAGTTGCAAAAGGCTGGAACCCCTGTCAGATTTTTGAAGAAAATGGAAATATAGCATTGAAACTGTTAAGGCTATCCTGGTGTTGCTGTCCTAAAGTATTGATGCTGACATTGTGTACTTTGTGTAGAGTAGTTCACTTTAAGGTCATCACAGAGAACAAGAGGGTACTCTTTACCTCTGGAGGAAAAAAAAAATGTAACCTCCAAAGGTTTCCATTTACACATAGGGATTTCAAACCGTTGGCAGAATTGTCACTATTCTGCCGGCGATTTGAAAATGTGCTGTGAAAATGTGAAAACATGCAAACATGTTCAGGTGCCATTTATTTCAATGGCAGTTGAATGGGCAGGATGTTTTTGCCATAATCACGACAAATGTGCCACGACAGCGCAAGCAAAATCCTGGGACTTGTGATGCCCAGTACCTTTTTTGGGCAACATGCGTCCCAAGATTTTGTTTGCTTGATTGCGGGAAAAAATCTCAGCATTTTCAGGTTCCATTGAAATGCATGGCACCTGAACATGCGATTTCGCGGTTTCACATTTTCACGACGCGGTTTCGAATTGCAGCCAGAATCACGCCTAATCATTTGAACGACATATCAGATTGGATGTCGCTCCACTTCCTTAAAAAATACCTCTTGATCTGGGCTTAAAAACAACATAAATAGACTAGAAGTAAACTGGACCTTTAATGTTATGTATTCTAGAGTGATTACAAGCACAGACCTTGTCATCAGCTGGTTTGACAGCCCAGAGTTTTTATTTTGTCTGTGTCCCTGTTTTTCATTCACTTCCTGTTTGGTAAAACTGTTGTTAAGAAAATGGGTATGTAGGCAAATACCTTTAACAGAGCCTTGGAAGCATTAAAATCCCAACAGGGGTTTTAATCCTCCCCACTCCTTACAAAGCTAGAAAAAATAATTGTTTTCTTTGGCATTCACTTCAAGTCAGGTAGATATGAAATACTGCATATTAATATGTTCTGTTGTGTTTTCAAGCAAGCAAGTGAACTTTTAGACTTCGTTTTTCTTGTTTTTCAGGATATCGTTCACCCTCTCTGTTGTTTACAGGGCTCAATATATTAAAATGATGTTTATACATGCAACTGACTGAACCAGAGAAGCAACTAATATTTCTCTCACCCCCTGAAAGCCTTAGCCCAAGGTGTCAGTCAGATACATCATGCTCAAAAGGAGATAACTATTGGTGTGTCCTATCTTTAGAAAAATCCATAGCGTTCTGAGAATTCTTTGTGATATATTAAATGTTTAATTGTACAACAAAACTCAGAAACTGAAATATTTAGAGCAAAATTTACCCAAAGCCATTTTAGTTTCCCTAGTATTTCTAATATTCAGTGAAAGGCGAAGATGTGTAGAAAATATTTTGTATAAGGCAAATAGTCTAATACAAAATTATGTCAAGGACTAAAGACTAGACTGCACTCTCATAAAAATATCTCATCAATAAAAAATATAAGAAATACTGACTATAAACATCAATAAGTGTAAAAACATAAACATAACGTAAATGTCCGTGTGACATGAATTAAGACTGTTCAAGGTTTGGTGCTCAATCTCGTGTGAATGGTGGAAATCACAATCCAAAGTGACAAAGGTAGTGACACCCGGAGAAGGTATGTGCTCTTCCTCTTCAGCAGTTTCACACCTCACTCACTGGAAATATATGACCCCTTTTACTCAAATGAAGTCAAAAGTGCTTGTATATCCTCAGTTGGCACTCTCCCACATGCGTCCATTTAAATTCAATCAATTTGCTGCTCCATTTGGTATAACATCCTGTACATATGGACAAATGGACAACACCATGCTCAACGTAGTGCTCCTGCACCTATTAGAGACTCCATATACCTTTCATTCATATAAGGGAAAAATAGAAGAGCCATCATAGTGTTGTGTAATACATTTAATGAATAAAGAGTAAAAGATGCACTTACATAGGTTAAAAACACACAGCCATTGAAACAGAAACTAGGAGTGCTGGTTTGTGCTTCACCTGCGCTCCAAACAGTGAAAGTGACATGTTCTGGAAGTCCCACCCAATGCATTTCATAAACAACATCTGACGTCATCAGGGGGAGCGCTACTTTGAGCATGGTGGTGTTCATTCCTCCATATGCACGGGGAGGGGGGCAGGAGCCTCAGGGACCAGTCTTGTGCAGGGAAGATCATAGGATTCAGTAGGTATATCTCTCTTCTCCAATTCCTGCCTTTGCATGCTTTCACATTTCTTGTAAAAGGCTAAACAAAGGTACCCACCAAATTAGATGTTGTAGCCTGTTTTGGCTTCCAAAATTATTCTTCCATGTTACTGAGTTCTGCTGGCAGCCATGTCTTTTATTTGGGATCCCTATCTCATAACAATGGCAAGCTGACAACTGGAGTCTAAGAACAATTAGTCAATGATACCTTATTTCATGTGTCCCTGTACATCTAAAAATACAGCAAATATATTCTCTCTTCGGGTCTCAGTAGGATATAGAAAAACACAATGTCTTTTCTGAGTTTGTTCTGCATAAATAATAACAAATATAGATAGCTTTAGTTAACTGTAACCATTTCAGTTGCACAAGGTGACATCCAGTGGGAAGAACTAACAACTATTTTTCTCCATTGGGTGAATTCATTACAACATACACTTAAGGCATGCTTCCTGTATGGAATC